CTGTATCCGGCAGATGCTTTTTAATTTTAGGTATTAATGGCTATTACTAGTATCAGTTAACTAAAGGCTGTTAGAAATATTGTCAAAGGCTTGATATGTATGTAACAGTACTTAATTTGAGGAAAGTAGTAACATCTGTGTCCATAATATCACCAGGGTCCATAATATTGCCACCTTGACTTGAGAAATAGTGTGCTTAAAGATATATTTTTACTGCAACATACCCTAGGTATGTACATTTGATGTGTGAAGGAGTGCATACCAAAAGTATGTTGCAGTAAAAATATCTTTAAGCACACTATTTCCCTAGGTGGCGATATTATGGACCCTGGTGATATTATGGACACAGATGTTAACTTACAGGTGGGGCAACCTAAAATTCTGATGGGCAACCTAATTTTTGCCATAGTTTGCCCACTGGGAAACCTTGTTCAAAAAAGTATTTTGTACACTGGTGCCCTACTAACCTCTCTGCCCCCCCCCCCCCACCACACACACTCAGGTCGTACAGCCCTGCACATGGCAGCAGCCTGTGGACATGTAGGGATGCTGGGATCCCTGCTACAGGCTGGACAGTTCTCCAACCCACTGGACAACAAGGGCTTCACAGCACTACACTGGGCCTGCTATAATGGTACAGTACATTTACTGAAACACATGGGACTTTGTCAAATGACCAATAACTTAACCTAAAGTCACATTCCCAAACTGGGGGCCTGGTTGAGCAGTTTGCAGTTCACAAAAAGTTTTATATCAAAGGCATGCAAAACAATGAAATTTTTAAAACTTCCATGAAAGGATTTTGAGATTCTGGGGAGGATAGACCTTTGTCCAAAAAAAGTAATTTGATTTGGAAAAAAGATAAATTCAGGACATTTTAAAACTACAGTCTCTGCCATTTGAAGATTGACAAAGGTTTGCACTTTATGGTATAATGTTGTATGACATTGTCCACATCTATCACTGCTATACATATGTACTTATTAGAAGGTATACCCTCTGTGATTTCCTGTGAACTCCCTGCACTTCAGGTCATGACAGCTGTGTGGAGCTTCTGATGGAGCGTGACGAAACCCAGAAGTTTGAGGGGAACCTCTTTACCCCCCTGCACTGTGCAGTGTAAGTATATCACATTATGCAGTGATTAGTAAAATATCTACTCTCATAAAACCAACTGCATGTTTATGGCTCTAGTCATGCTAATAACAGAATGTCGCAATTTAATGTGTTGTGTCTCCCAGCAATATTGTTAAGAATGATTAAGAAAGACTGTTTTCCCTCCCCAGGTACAATGATAATGAGACATGTGCTGAGCTGCTGCTGGATACATTAGGTGATGATATTGTCAATGCACAGGACTCAAAGGGAAGGTAAGTCCATTTATAAGCTGTTTGGAACATTTAGATTCACATTTACGTTACGACATGTCTAGCCACTCATGTCATGCAATTGTAAGCATCTAAAGGCACCTAAAGCTATTTCGGGGAGAAAAACTATCTTTTTTAAATTTAGTAAGTTTAATCAACCTTGTTGGATGTACTGAATCAAATATGTAATGTTTCTGACAGAAAACAGTTGCTTGTTTTGCATTATAGGCTGGTTTTAACTATTCATTGGTGGTACCAACAACCCTACTCACATGCTCAATGTGGCTCAATTGGCTTGCTTTTGAACTACAAGTTTGAAATGATGATTACAATATGCTAAGAAACAGCAGACAATGTCAATATCACACAGATTTCCTCATCCAGAATATTTCTTTGTATTGACACCATGAAATTGCATTGAATACCTTAAAAAATTTCCCTCTTCTGCAGAACTCCCATCCATGCTGCAGCCTACAACGACCAAGTGGAGTGTCTGCAACTGCTGCTGAGCCATGGGGGTCAGGTGAACAATTCTGACCAATCAGGGAGGACCCCCATCATGATGGCTGCTGCAGCTGGCCAATCAGGAGCTGTGGGTAAGTGGTCACCTGACTTCTATCAGCCAATCGTCATGATGATTGTAACCTTATTCCAATAATTGGAATAAGGTAATAGAAGAAAAGACACCATACTTGAAGGGATGTTCTAACCTCAGAAACTGACTTCAAAAGTGTTTCTTTGGTGATGTTTTTACAAAGATGTTACGGAATACTATGAAAGTTTTATAACATTTTTTACCTCTCTTCAGAGCTACTACTTGGAACCTCTGGAATCAACTTGACCTCACAAGATAAGGACAAGAACACAGCTCTCCATCTTGCATGCAAACATGTAAGTGACAAGAAAGGAGATGTAAGTAGAATGCATACTAAGCAATGGCAGACATCCTTTTTCTGTCAACACAAAAAATAATGTTTTAAACCACCTTCCTTCAGTAAGTCTACTTTTTTGTGGCTCTATATTATCTGTGTTTTTACATACTGTACTGTTTTCTCTGGTTAATGTTGGGCCTGGATTCTCTTTTAAAGCTTTTAAAAGTGTTTCTGTCCTCTGCTTTTTTACTCAGACACATGTCATGTAATTTTACCACTGGTGTGATTTCTTGTACAAATGTGTGTAGAATGCTGTCTAGATCTGTTAACAAAAGACATCTTCATCTGCTGTACATAGCAATGTGCATGTTATTCTATACTCACCCTCTTGTGCATGCCCCTCTCTCTCTGCATGTTTTCTATTGCATGTCACAGGCTGATATGGATGACAAACTTATAAAGGTATCAGTAACATAAGTGGGGTCAGACATAGTATTTTTAGTTATTGAAAGTTGGGCAAGGTAGCCTAGACTATAAGGTGTATTTGATCATGTCATTGATCCTGTGCCCTTGGGAAAGTGCACTTTACACGACTTTCCTCACTTCACTCAGGTGTAAATGAGTACCTAGCTTTGGTTAGGAACATCCCTAGGACAAGACGTTAAATGGAAGTTCCGTGTTTGGGAGAGCAACACCCACCGCACTTATCGAAAAGAGTAGGGGTCCTTCCCGGTGTGAGTGGTTCAAACCTTACAGTTCAGTCTTAAGCAGCTTGTACTTACAATTACATGTACAAAACTGGTGTGTTACACCTAAAAAGGCAGTTATGCCAAACAAACAAAAAATGTGGGATTCATGCAGGTGCTGTATGTTCTGTCAACATGCTCCATAGCACACTTGAAGTTTCCAGCACCTTGCTGATAATAAGTTGGTGTGTTTGTCCTTCCCAGAGCCATACAACCTGTGCCTTGTTAATCCTGGAGAAGATGGACGATCCAGAAGTCATCAACACTGCAAACACGCTCCTGAAAATGTGAGTTCTGTTTCCTCATGTTGGTGAGGAGAGTAATACCCCCTCCTTGAATTTCAGTTCAATCCATGCCATGTTATGTTTTCTACCAAATGAAATATTCACTGTTTTCACAATCACTCCCATAACATGAAATTATCATTACCGTTGTGAAAGTCATTATTTCACTCCATACTATAGCATGGAGTGAAATATTGTTCTTTCTCACGTTTCTTCTCCTCCTTCTCCAAGTACTTGTCCTTGTATCCTTGTTCTCAATTAGATAATTGCAGTATGATTTATTTAAAATCTTCAATTTTTGTTTGGGGAGAGAGATGGAGTGAAATATTCTAGATTTGCTCCAAAGCAAATGTTGGCCTTTCTAGTTTGTCTTTCATTGCCCCTTCCTACTCCCTCCATGAACATTTCCATATTCCCCAGACTGGGACATTTTCTTATCATGAAGACAAAAATGCAATGTGAATTACAGTAACCACTTTGATTAGCTCCTCCACAATGGATATCTAAAGTATTCTGATAACCATTCGCAATTCCTGTGAACAAAGAAATCTGAAATGCCAAGCTAAAGGCGATCATAATAGGCACAATCATTATGCTACATGAATGTTAGGTTGTACTGTATACACATTGTATAGTATTGCTCATCACCCTTTTGTGAGAGTTGTAACATTCATGTTTTGTTCCTCCCTCAGCCCCCTTCACCTGGCTGCAGCCAATGGCATGGTGCCTGTAGTACAGGAGCTCATCAGTAAAGGAGCCAGTGTGCTGGCTGTGGATGATAAAGGTAAGACACAGGACCATATGGAAGTACTTCAGTTACTACATGTACCTTACAGGACTCTATAGCCAGCACCATTTTTTCTGTCAATTGTAGGAACTTTGTGGCATGTGATGGAAAAGATTTTAGCCAATCCATCAATTTGGACAAAAATCTTAGGTAAAAATGTAAAGACATCCAAAGGACCACCAACATCCACTCTCAACTCTATGATTTGCCTCTCAAAATGTGGGAAAATTTGTTTTTAAAGGCTAGGAAATCCAAAGGGAGCTTTTGAGACACACTCTGTCTCTTCATCAACCCAGTAAAATCTCATTTTGGAGTTGAATTCTCTAGTCACGTGACTTGATGTTAGCATGTCAGCAGAACGTACTGCACCTGCGTGAAATCCATAATGTATAGTGCACAGCACTTTGTCAGAACGTCTCATATAAGGTCGTTTCCGCGTATATTAAGGTTAACATCCTGTCCGTAGTTTCCAAATGTGTTGGAAAAGATATCGTCTGCAACAGGCAAAAGTCTGTTGCAGCGTTGACAAAACATCCCAACGAAAACCGTGAAAAATCAGGGTTTCGCACAGGCGCAGTACGTTCTGCAAACTTGCTCTAACTTGATGTTGATTATCCTTACTTTGTTGTCCCAGGTTACAACCCCGCCCTATGCTGTGCTGCCAACGCTCAGGTCGCCGACTGCCTGGCGCTCATTCTGGCCGCCATGATGCCATTCACGCCCAACAGTACCATCAACATGGACGCCAACGGTATGACCGCCACCTCCAGTATGGGCAGTATAGGCACGGAGGGAGACAACGTCGACACCAGCGAAAATCAGAGTTTCGACGAGGCCGGAACTTCCGACTCCGAAACATATTGACACACGTTAACACTTAGCTGAGTACAAGATACTACAGTACAATGTAGCTCAAACTAGAAGCCTGCAAGAATTTTTTTCATTGTAGTTTTTTCATTAGGCCTAGGAAAAAAATGCTGTGTTCCTGTTTTCCGACCGACCCTAAAAAAAAAACTGCTGACCCTAAAATTCTTTTTTGTGGATCCCTGCAAGGGACATGAATTTTTCAAGCTAATCAACCTTTTCTAGCTCCATGCTCTGACACCTGAGTGATGGAACATTGTATAATCGGTTTTCCAACATTGACATTGAAAATAGCTCATGCAAGTTTTACATTGTTGAACTGTATTGTATTTGTACTATAAGTTGGATCACTAGAGATTGCCGAAGTCTAAAAGAAAAAGGGGAAAAAAATATAATCCCTACCTACTGACCCTAATTTTTTCGAGACTGAAACAGGAAACACAACATTTTTTTCATAGGCCTTATAAGTTATAGTTAATTGTGGATCCAGTGGAATGTGAGATTTCTGATTTTCAGGGATTCCTAGGGTCCAAAAAATGTTGTCTAAGATATATGTGTAAGCATAACTCCAAAGTCAGATTACATAATATGGCATATGGAGGAATTTTGGTGAAAAATACATAATACTAAAAATCACAAGATTGAAAGGTGATAGATATATCATGATAAATCAAGTCAAGGTGTAACGTGTGACTGTTGAGTCTAAGAAGTTTTTTGTCAGAAATTTGCAGTGTGCTAATTTGATAGGATTTATTGAATACAAACGTTTTGTATGTAAATTTCCGACAGTTGTGTGAAAATATGGAGCATTGAAAGGAATCAAGAGCCTTTGCTTTGAGTTACACATTTCTGAAATAGAGTGTACATAAATGTTGACATACATGTACAGTAATACAGTAAATTTGTTAGCTGTAGCCAAAAATCTATGGTGTATAGACACAGGCATCACTGCATACAAGGGTATATTTCAACCTGTGAGAAAACTGGGATTTCAGACTAAGGCCACACCAATTTAGTTTGTTGGTTCTCGGATTTTTTTTTCAGAAAAAGTATGAAGTGGAAGGGCGGAAAAAAATTAAAATAAAAACAGGCCAAGGCATCCTATGATAGCCCCAAATGCTATTATAGGAGCCATGAAGACAAAATACCAAGTTTGATGATGAAGTAATTCAAACAATGAACTTTTAATCAAACCAATGCATTGGTAGATGGAAAAAAATGTAACAATTCTGAAGAAAAGGGACTTCCTTTGATTGTTGGGGCCAAAATATGAGCATTTGGGAGTTGAGAGGTTGACATTATTTTTTTTTTTTAATTTAGAAAAAATGAAGCGGCAAATCTGAGAGCCAACAAATTAAATTAGTGTGGCCTAATATATTTGTTTATGTACTAGCAGGTACCATGTATGATGTCTCTGTACAGATTATGTTCTGTGTCCGTAAGAAACGTCCCTAAACAGAAGGTGCTTCCTAACCTACATGTGCCTGGCTGGTGAATGGACATACATGTACATGTACAACCTGTAGCCACTTTTCTAGCTGTGTGGACAGGCTCTAGCCTCTACCAGGCTTTGAGAAATGGCTGGAAAGAGTAGAAATTGGCCAAATAGATAGATAACACGCCAGTGGAGTCCTTAGCATGAGTGGCAAACTGTACTCTTGAGCTGACCAACTCCCCTGGCATGTTATCTGTCTATTTCAATTCCTACTCTTTCCAGTTGCTTCCCAAAGCCTGGTAGAGGCTAGACTAGGCATATTTGTGGCCTACCTTCCTACAACTAAAGAAACAAGCCAAGAAGAATTGCTTGGTGATTGTGTAAAATGTTGGTGCCATTTTTAAGTCATGGATTTTTTTGTGCATTAATTTTCCTTCTAAAGCTCGCCATATTTTTTTTTTCCTGTTGGCCTTTTTGGCTTGAAGAAAATGTCAATGCTATGAAATGCAATGCGGATATGACCTAGAAATTGAAGTGTAACTGTTCCGTTGTTGATTGTTAGGCCATGTTGATTTGATTATATGGATGACATCCTCCGGGAGCCCCAAAACTGATGCGCGCGTGCGAATAAAAAAAAAGTTTTGCAAAAAAAAAAGTTCTTTTCATTATGAAATGTATGTGGTCATGAGGGTTGAGCAAATGGCACAGAATATGGTTTGGCGAATAATCTAGTCTTCCAGTTCATTTCTTTACAATTTCGTCTTTTTTCGTTTGATTTTGGCATTCTACGACATTGGTATAGTTTTTTTTATTTTTTTTGTAACTTATGGTATATTTTTGCTCATTTTGCAACTGTTTTGTACGATTTACAGTATGGTTGAAAACTTTTTGTTTTGTTTTGGAAACGGCCGAAAATTCATGCGCGCGCGGATGTCATCCATATAATCAAATCAACATGGCCTTATACAAGAAAAAAAGATTTGTGTAGTTTTTCTCTTGTGTATGAACACAGTTTATCCAGGAACAATGTTAATCATCTACACAGATACACAGATGAACTTTCACACTCAAGTAGTAGTTAAGTTGACAATAAAGTCATCAGTCATGAACTTAACCTTGGTCTTCCTAAAAACAAGTATGTTTCTCCAAACATACCATATTATTGTGACATAAGAAAACCCTATTGTGTGAGTTTCATAGATTGACTGGCTTCCTTTTTTTATGAATTGGGTGTTTTTTTTGTTCTTATGGGTCCTTGTACTAATTATTATCGGGATTATGATATTATGTATATATTAATGGCTTTGATTGCACCTTGTGAAGTAAGTATGATTATCCATAAGAATGATCTGTGTTATCTGAATCTGTCAGCATGTCAGCCATTTCTTTGCGTGTAATGTTTGGGTGCAATGGCTACCTCATGACAGGTATGACAGGACACTGGGAATAAAATTGGAGTGTTCTTGCAACTGGACTTGTCTGGAAGTTCTCATGATTTTCTGTTGACTGTGATAAGGCCATGTTGATTTGATTATTTGGATGATGTCCGCGTGCGCATGAGTTTTTGGGCCTTTCACAAAAAGGGAGTGGATGGTGTTCAGCACCAAGGCCAGGTTTGCCTGTGTGTGGATGATGTTCAGCACCAAGGACAGTTGTGTTTGCCTGTGTGTGGAAGGTGCTCAGCACCAAGGACATGTTTACCTGTGTGGGGAAGGTGTTCAGCACCAAGGACAGGTTTACCTGTGTGTGGATGGTGTTCAGCACCAAGGACAGGTGTGTTTGCCTGTGTGTGGAAGCTGTTCAGCACCAAGGACAGGTTTGGTTGTGGGTGGATGGTCTTCACCACCAAGGACAGGTTTGGTTGTGGGTGGATGGTCTTCACCACCAAGGACAGGTTTGCTTGTGAACATGTGTGGGAGGTGTTCAGCATCAAGGATAGGTTTGCTTATGGGGTGGATGGTGTTTAGTACCAAGGACAGGTTTACCTGTGTGTGGATGGTGTTCAGAGCCAAGGACAGGTTTACCTGTGTGTGGATAGCTATAGTGTTCAGCACCAAGGACAGGTTTGCCTGTGTGTGAAAAGTGTTTATTCTACCAAGGAATTTTAATTTCAACTTAAAAGTCCTTGCGAAAATAGATGAATAGGAAAATTGGGCAAGAGTGTTATGTTTCATACTGTGGCCGCATAACAGCTTATTCTTGAAAACGTTTATTTGTGATTATAGAAATAATGTAAAGGTGCCAATGTGTAGCTGCATTTTTACCCATTTTCCTTACCGAGATTGACATTAACGTTAGTATCCTTCGTAATTAGATAATCTAATCGTCCTTCTTCGACACAAATAAGTGCCTGGCACCGAAACGGGCCGTCATTGGTCGTCATAATTAGATTATCAACTTCACATTAATTATGCACGGCCATTCTGGACACCTGTGTAAAAACAAGTTTGGTATGGTCCAGTCAAAATGGCGATTTCGTACGACGGGAATACTCTGGGCTGATTTTTTCACAACTTTCTGGGTACTTTTGGACGTTTTCGTCGATAGACTGTCTTAGTAAGTGTGCAACAAAATGTCTGGGAGTTTGTGCTGTGGATTTGTGCCGTTCTGGTGATGTTTTGAGGAGAAAATGCGGATTTCCTGACCTGGCGAATTTTGGAGAAGACAAAAATGGCGAGACAGTTGGGAAGAGTAACGTTAGTGTGGTATGGAGACGACTTCACTTATTGTTGCAGGTAAACCAGTACATTGTTTGGCTGACATTATTCCTTAACAACTAGTACGAACATGTCAACATATTCCGTAAGAAATTAACTATTTCTGTATTAGGCAGCGACCGTTCCTAATTTTACACAGGCTTAGAAAAGTCCATCAAGTTGCAGCGTTTTCAACAACATTTCAATGACTTCAATGTGTGGTGCACTACTTGTGAGTGTTAAATGTATGTGCATGTCTTTTTAGTCAGTTGTTCAGCGTTTTGAGGTTATATTTGTCGAAAGAAATTCTGCATTGACCAAACTTTTTTCTCTCTTTATCTCCACGTGGTTCAAAACACCTGTTGGAATGTGGCCGTGTACATAATTAGTTATTTTTCCCGCCAAAAATTTGCGTTAACAAGATGGGGGCCTCAAAGCTTCAGGGCGCCGAAATGAATACGATACAAAACGGTTGAAAACTAGTTAAGTCGAGTTGACCATACTTTGAAATTCGTTCTTCAGTATCATTTGCAATGTATCATTTATAATTCAAAAGCTTGTTCGTTTCCTTTTTAGAGTAATTCAGTAAAGAGTAATGACCAAGCCCAAGTATTTCTGGCGCAAACACTACAGATGACTATGCTTGAAGGTAGCAATTCCTGTTTTGAAAATATTTTGCGCCGAGTTTTTTCGTATTATACATAAAAGTTCAGTTGAAGGGGGTTGATTTATTTTATTGTTGTTTCTATCCCCGTTTTTATGGTCATTATGTAGAGTTTTCGTGGAGGTATGTGTTTTAAAGTCAAGATATTTAAGGTGTGTGTGTGCATTGAGACAAGTGTCCAACTTATAATGTATGTATGGTTAGATGAAGGCTGATGCAGTAGTGAGAACTTTTGTTTGAACCTGGCAAGACAGAGTGGACCAGACCAGATGATTTGAAGACCGAAGAGGAATATCAGGTGAGAACAATCCCAATTATTCATTTTACCTACCATTTACTTGGTATTATTTGAGACAAGTGTGTAACTTTTAAGGTCTGCATAATTAGGTGGCTGCTGACTGATGCAGTACTGAAGACCCCTGTCTGAACCTGACAAGACAGATTGGACCAGATGATTTGAGAACCGAAGAGGAATATCAGGTGAGAAAAATCCCAATATGGCATTTTACCCACAATTATTTGGTCTTATTTGAGACAAGTGTGTAACTTTTAATGTCTGTATAGTCAGGTGGCTGCTGACTGATGCAGTAGTGAGGACTACTGTCTGAACCTGAGAAGACAGACTGAATCAGGCCAGATGATTTTAAGACCCAAGAGAAATATCAGGTGAGAAAAATCTGGATTCTGCATTCAACCTATTACTTACTTCATGTTGTTTGAGACAGTGTGTAACTTCTAATGTCTGTATAGTCAGGTGGCTGCTGACTGATGTAGTAGTGAAGACTACTGTCTGAACCTGGCAAGAGAAGATTGGACCAGATCTGGTGATTTAGAGACACAAGAGCAAGATGACAACAACAACATCCACAGGTGAGATAATGCTTTAGAATATCTGTTTGACTCTAGCACTCTTCCCTTACGTTTTACACTTCATAAAAATAACACACATGTAGCAAAACATCTTTCACATTAATAATTTTGTATTCCCTTACTTGAATAAATGTCTGGTATATATAAGCACTTGTCTACATTTCTAGGAAGAGGCAAAGTACAAGGTCACAAGAGTGCATATTTACCTGGTAGCTAGTTGTCCATTCATATCTGGCATCAATTGTTCTTTTATATAGGTATAATTAGGGTCAGCAGTCCTGATGTTCCTGTCCAAACCAGGCCTCAGCCAACCAGCTGACTTAAAGTTAAAGACAGACCAAAGTGAAGAGATTGTATACAGGTGAGACAATGCTTTACAACTTTATTTTTCTATGTGAACATATCTAAGCAAAGGGGTTGTATGATCGAAGGATTTTATCTATTTTATCTTTAATGGTCACTCAATGTTGCCTGGAATTTTTTGGGGAGCATCACACTAATTATTCATCATATCATTTAGGTGTGTCCTGATGTTCCTGTCCTGACGTCCCTGTCCTGAGTAGGAGAAACATGTGATGATGGACAACTTCTGTCCACACCAGACCAAATGATGTCTTGGCAAACCTGTTGACCTGAAGACACAGTGAAGAGTTTGTACAGGTGAAACAACGCTTTATAACTTAAAACCTTTTTCTGATTTGTTACAAACCCTGAGGCATAACACACAACCAGTAATGTGTTTAAAAACACCTTTCCATAACCAAACACTTTCTACATCTATTAAAGCATTATGATTACCGGTATCTTTGATGGTTAGTCAGTGTTATCGAAGATGTTTTTGCATCATACTACAGTAATTATCCTTTCATCCTTAGTTATGCGTTTCTTGACGTTCCTGTCCTGACTGGGAGAAACCTGTGATGACGGTTGACTTCTGTGTAAACCAGATCAGATCAGGTCCTGGAGTTTGTACCTGTCCATGCAGGTGAGACAATACTTAAAAACTTGAATTTTTCTTTCCTCTTGGATGTATTACGAACTGTGGGATAACATGCTGCCAGTAACAGTTACTAAACACTTTTAAAAACCTAAATTTTTGTACATGTATTCAAGCAACTATTACAACTTACATGACTTATTCCTGTCCTCACATGTACTAGTATGTTAAGAAAATGCTACAAGTACATTGTAACATGTTTTAAAGCAGTTTTGTGGAGCCTAACTCCTTCAAAGTCTATTCAATCAATGGGATAGTTGAATTGCATGATGTTTTTCCATCACACTTATTATCCTTTCATATTGTTAGGTGTGTCCTGAGGGTCGGCTGTCTGTTCTGGGAGAAACCAGTTGACTTGAAGATGCAGATGGAAATGAAGACAGCGGGCACAGTTGTGAGTTTACGTCGATGAAGGTTAGACATCCAGGTAATACGATATGCCAAAAAACAGTTACTCAAGCAACTGGATATGATTTTGAAAACGTCAGACGTTTCAGCTAGTATCCACAGCTAATATTTTTCGACTTCCAAAAATTGTCTTCACTTTATTTGCATATCAATCAACAGGTTGTGTATATAAACCTGCTTTCCCCTCTGGTCTCTCAGTCACTGACGAAAGCTAGTGGATACTAGCTGAAACGTCTGACGTTTTCAAAATCATATCCAGTTGCTTGAGTAACTGTTTTTTGGCAGTTGTGAGTTTAGTTTATTTGTTCAGCAACACACCCATGCTAATACAATTTCTATCCTATAATCCACTTGTCCAGTCACTAACTGCACTGCTTTTAATTACACAGTATGTCACACTTTTCTGGACTCCTTTTCACATCTTCAAACAATTAGGGACTGTACGATATTTACCGGGGAGGGGGGGCCGGTCGTCCGGGG